TGGGGAGAAGGAAAACTGAAGCTGGAACAATGCATTAACGAGGTCTCTCTGCCAAAGCAGATTAAGGGACCAGCCCCGGCTAACACTAAGGATCTCTTTATTGATCAGCGAAGTAAAAGTAAAATGTGAAAACATCAAAAACAAGCTCCAAGAAGAACTTGGAATAATGGATATTCAAATACTCTCCGTAGCAGGAATTGTCATGTCCTCTCTTAAGGACAATCTGACATCTGCAGCGAAGCCCTCTGACAATTCTGTCTCCAGGAAGATGTCCCAAGCAACTAACCAGAGACATATTCATCAATCAGTATTACACTGATACTCATAATAGAGATGTTTATAACAGTAAAAAAATAAAATAATCTGGGAACAATCAACTAGTAAATACCCAACACTGAAAAAAAATAAGAAAACATTAAAACTTATACTGGAGAATTCATTGAGAGGGAAAATACTTCCAACACAGTGTAAGCATCATTTTTAAGATAATTGGCATTAATAAAGACAAGTGGTACCAATGGGGATTTTCTCCAGCTTAACTTGTGAGATTATCAGTGGTTTGAGAGGGGTTTTTTCATACCTTCGTGAGTTTTCCAAGATTTCTAAATTGATCATTGTTCTTGCTAAAAGAAAAAGTACTCAAAAAATAAAATCTAAAGTACAATTTCAAGCACCTGTAGACAATGGACTCATGATCATTAATGCATTCAAGTTCAGGGGGCAACACCACTTCTGTCAGCGGGTTAGCTCCCTGACCCTTCTATCCCCATTCCGGGGTGGATGGCAGGACCCTGCCCCCAGGAATCATGTCCAGGAAGAATGAGATCTGGGAGGAAAGGTGGAAGAGATAAATGTTTTGAGTCTTTTAAAGGAGCTAGGAATTGTATTTGGACCTATTGTCTTGCTTCCCTTTCCAACTTCCAACCTGACAGGGCACACAAAGTTCCAGGGACTTTCATTCCCCAGGACAGAGTCAGAGAAACAGCACAGCCTGAATGTCCATGACCTTCCGCATGGAGGCGTAACCAGTTTCATACCGGACAAACCCAAAGGAGGAGAGGGGGACTCATGGTAATGGATGCAGAGAGAAGGCTGGAGTGTAATGCAAAGGAAAAAATATTCAGTGACTTAGAAGGTCAGAGGTTATCCTATATCACATGTGTCAAACACAAGGCCCGCGGGCCAAATCCGTCCCGCCAGGCCTTGCAATGTGGCCCGCACCGCGCTGTCATCACTGCACTCTGCTGCGTTTCCATCACAATGACAGTTTATGACTGTTCAGTAAACCATTCGGCCCGCGATTTAGGCTGGATTTTAGATTTTGGCCCCTTCTCTGATTGAGTTCGACACCACTATCCTATATAATAAAGATGTAATATACAAATGATCGTTACACCGTGAGGCATAACGACTGACCTCTTAATGACCAGATCACGGATCAGCAGGAGGATGGGGCAGCAAGCTACAAGCGGGCGAGGAGAGCTACAAGGGGGCACGACAGCAAGCTATGAGGGGACAGGGGTCGAGGGGAGGGGGGGAAGCTACAGGAGGGTGGGACAGCGGGTGGAGAGCTACTGGAGGCCGCAGTGAGCTACTGGTGAGCTACTGGCGCACCAATTCATGTGCAGGGCTACTAGTACACCCATAACCACCCTTCCCTCCAGCACATGCAGGAGGCTATAGGGGAATCAGCAGAACCATCACTTCATATGTGAGATTAATGATGACGATGGCATATGGCTATGAATTAATGGTAAGACATAGAGGAGGATGTTCCTAATGTGAGAGGTTAATTGAAGCCTGGTGCCTCCCGTTTAACTAACATCTTGGCAAGAGTAATACAAATGAGGCCACACAAGAAGAAACTCACATGTTGGCATAGGCACGGAACATCTCTGGGAGATGACAAAAAGAGCGAGTTGTGCAGAGGAGAACTGGGAGGCTAAAGGACATAAGTGCAAGGGAGACTTTCTCCTCACCATTTGAAGCTGTGCCGTGTGCATATATACTATTCAAAAAAAGAATAAATAGAACTCCTTGGCTAAAAACAAATTATGCCCTAAAATACAAATGGACTGCCGCTGATTTTACAGTCTACAGGAGTAGTAAATTGTGTGCCGGGGACAGTGCACTGTCTAAGGCAGTGCCCTGGCGGGCCTCTCCGGGTGTGAAAAGGAAACCTGCAGAGATGTTTTAAAAGGGGGCAAGGGGTGATATTCCTGTATGTAACACAGTGAAGAAGCATGTTGTGTGTACAGCTCTGGGAAGAGGGAAGTGACATGGAGAGGAGAGAAGGGGCCAAGGGAGAGGGGCACCTGGGCACATGCAGAGGGCCTGACTTAATGCGAGGCACAGCCAGGGATTTGCAGGAATAGCGCCATCCCAAACGTGTCTGCTGCTGTGTGCTCCCACTGCCACTTCCCCCTTCACCAGGACACCGTCCACTGCCAGTAACAGTCTATAATACATAGTAATACTGTATTGTTGGGCTTTGGAGAAATGAAGGGAGTGTCCCGAGTGGGGGCCGGACAAGCTGCCAAGAGGGAGAACAGCAGACAACAGAACAGAGATGGGTAGAGCAGGGACTGTGGGGAGTCGGGGTGCAGGGCAAACTGGCCAGGAGATAAGCTCTCCCAAGTCCTGCAGAAACAGTATGGTTAGGGAGAAACACTCACAGAGTGTGGGATGGGAATTCACAATATTTCCCTTAGACATGATGATCCCCTGCAGCCTGGTGAGCTTGGATCCTCTATTACCTGCCTACTTACTTAGAAGGTAAGTTTATGGTCATCTCTCTCTTCTCTGTATTCTCTCCCCTTTCACTTTTTTTTTTTAAAGAAGAATTAGCTAAGCATCTAAAACATCTTTAATTTCTATGTAGCTGAAAAGGCAAAGAGACACCAGTGCCTGCATACACTCACATCTTCCTCTCACACCCAAGAGAGATAGTGCTTCCACCCCTTGCCCTGCTCTTAGGTAAGTAAGACGGTCAAAGAGGGTCCAGTCTCAATCCTACTCATGTCAAGTCAGGATTGCTTTTATCCGTTATGGTCCATTCTGTCTGCATAACCAAGCTTAACCAAGTCTCAGTGTGAACCCTTCCCGAACCTTATACCTCGCTGTTCCTTTGCTCATCTCTGCCCTGATCCAGCCAGAAGCCAGGGTGCAGTTCACACACTGACCACAACACCGACAAGAATAGGCTCCTGACCACATGTGATAAGATCCTCAAACTCCACACTATGGAAACTTCTCTAAAAATAAGTATCATAACTTCTCTCCTTCTGAACCTATTTTACTGGCCTTCCTCTCAAGAAATGTCCCTGCCTTCAGGACCCATCATTTCCTCTGATTAATCCTTACAGCCCCTCAAGGCCAAGAGCCCCTTCTCACCACCAACCCCACTCACCACACACACACACACACACACACACACACACACACACACACAACCACCCCTCCCAGGGTCCAGCCCCTTCTCCGCCAAACGAAGAGGGCCCCCCAGAGTGACAAAGCCGCCTCTGTTTCCTCAGACCTGCCAGCCCAGCCCCATGACCTGTTCCCGCTGACACACTCCCTCCTCATGGGGCCCAGCCTCCTCAAACCCACATCCGGGCTCTCAAGAGCAAGGCAGCCACAGCCTGAGCCCCTAGAGGCCGGTCACAGCTCTTCCTTCCGATGCCCCAGCAAAAGGGCCCTTTTCCTCAGTGCATGCTGGGGAGCTGTTTGAGGGGAGCACGTGTCTAAGGCTGGTCCCACCAGGCTGTGTACCCCATCCTTTCCTTGAGCACTGGGATCAAACAACATCCTTCATTTCTTCAGAGTCAGCATTTGTCTAGCATCCTCTCATCACTATGCGTTACTTTGCAACTTCTCAGTTTCCACATCTCCCCAGAAGCATGCAAACCCTTTGGGAGTCGAGGAGAGAATGCACACAGTACCCACCCCTTACATAACGCTCTGGACGCCCCTTCCCGGAATGAGGCATCTCATGGTCACGTGCCCCTGATGGCCTTTCAAAGCAGCCCTGCTGGCACACCTCTACCCACTGGTGCCTTTATGCCCTGAGTTTTGTCCATTTTCTCTCAAATTCTTAATCCCCAAGTGTCCTGACTCAAAAGCTGAGAGAGAGGAACTCCAAGGCATGGAAGGAGGAGAGTGCCTGAGCCCTGGGGTGGGGTTTGGGGTCCTCGTCAATCCTTCCACCACGAGACGGTTGGTTCCATTCGAGGATAACATTGTTCTCAGGAGGACAGCACCTAGGGGAACCCCCTCCGTGGGACCAGCTGCCTAGGGAAAAGCACCTCCCTTGGTGAAATGTCCACCCCTGCTCATGGATCCCCCTGATACCTGCTTTCCAAGTAACTCCTCCTTCCTGCCCCCAGACCAGCCGCAATTCAAAACTCTTCAGGGAGAAATTAGCTAACTATTCTCCATCAGAATAATCCAGAAGGTCACACTTGCCTTTTGCCAGGACTGGAGCAATGGTTCACGTGTTCCCTCCCGCCCACCCCCTGCCAACTGCATTTGAGTTACTTTGAAATACCATCTGGGAGAAATCATCATCACAAGTATTTAAGGTTCCAATTCATAAAAAGGCAAAGAAAGAAAACACACACGTGCAACCTTACCTGTGATTTGGGGAATGTCCAGAAGAGCATTCCTAAACACCTTCCAAACACGTGCTGGCCCCATCGCATTCCTCCCCCAACAGTATTCTATCTTGTTTGCCTGCGTGAGTATCAGTGAGAAAGGAAGAGAGCAAAGCGAAACTCTCCTAAGAACTCCTAAGGACGATGCCCATGCTCACTGCTTCCTCAGTGGCACAAGGCGGGCGGCCCAAAGAATCATTCCGAGTAGAGTCAAACCTCTGGGTGCGAGTCCGTGCGTCTCAGGTCCCTGCACCCTGTGCCGAGCCAGAACGGGTCACTTACCTGCCAGCTGTTGCCAGGGGCACTGGGTCCCCCAGGCCTGGTCTGCATCTTTTGGAAGTTACATACCTCAGAAGGTTAAAGCTCAGATCAAGCCTCTTGGCGAAATGTCCGCAGTCCCTGCCGAGGTGCTCTGGAATCTCTCTGCAGTCCTGGCCGATGTAGGACACCTGGAAGTTAAAGGGAACAGAAACGCTGTGGCAAACGGAAATCGCCCAGCTGCTCGCGGCCCTGAGTCATTGATCCGATGATTGCTTCCGCAACTTTAAAGGCAAGCTCCTCACACACACACAAATGCCATATTTGTGGCTGTTTTTCTGGTCAGATCAGCTTTGGGGGCTGCAGGGACTCTGCCAACAGCTCCCCCTTTCCTGGGACACTTAGTATGATGAAGACGAATCCTGGCACAATGGAAATTGGGCTAAAATTGGCCGGATTCAGATGTCAAAAAAAAAAGAGCATGGCGATATAATCACAGCAATCAGCCTCTAGCTCAGGGGCCTTTCTAACAGCTGCCCCTTGGCTCTCCTCCTCCACTGCCTCCCCCCCACCCCACCCCCAGTACCCTGTTATGCACATTACCCCATAAAGACACAGCAGATGCACTTACCAGTATTCAACCTGCGTGGTGCTGAACAAACAGGGTTGGACAAGTAAACCTTCCCAGACCGCCAATCCCATCTTATTACCACTGTGTATCAAGTGTCTGCCTCGCTCGGAACAGAGCTGATTCAGAGGCAACAGGGCAACGACTCCAAGGAGCCTTTTGCCATCAGCACCTCTCTGCTTGCAGAGCTGTGCCCCGAGGCATTGTTTTATTTATATTATTAATCTAGTGCGTACCCAAATATTAAAAAGCTGAACTAAAACGTGACCCTAAAAGCTTCTGACTAGGACAAGGTCGGAGGGTTTTCTCACTGCTCCAACTACCCCGCTTTTGAATGCCATTTTTGCAGACAGCACTCGGAGGGCAGGTTTGGCAAACTGTTCCAAAAACCATACAACAAGCCTGTAGGTCAGGGCTGGCCAGTGAGTCACGATACAGGATGCCTCCCTAGAGGGCTCCAGGTAGGATTCTGCCAGGTAGAAGGTCTGGCCCATCGCACAGCTATAACCTGACCCTTCTCCCTCCTCCTGCCCCACAAATACACATTCTTCTACGCATACAGACAACGATATCTTGGAATGAGCAAGAGATTCCCCGGGGGGTTATGATTCCTAATGAGGAAACAAGAATATGGTGGACATCTCAGATATTAGGTTTAACCATGTGAATTATTAATATTCAATCATTTTAGAACTACAGAAATGGCACTCTCCTATGGCTGAACCCAACACAAATCACACTTCACCCTAGCACCTTCACTGTTTCCTGTCATCGCTCTGTCCTCTCCTATCGGATGAGTACAAACCACTGATAATACAATATCCTGTATTTATAGTCCTTCAGTAACTTCAGTCCCAGAAGAGAGAAAGTAGGGAGAAGGGACAGAAAACTAGCTGACTCCAATAAAATAATTTTGACTCGGGAAAATACAGGGTTCCGAATTCAATCTAGCAAGCTCTCCCCTTTCTACATGAGACTCATCTTTCTTCAGGACTCCTTGTGTAATAACTTAACTTCAGCTTCTAAGCCATGATGGAACTCATGTACCAAGGAGAGACTAGGGATATAAAGCTCAATTTAAAATAATAATAATAAATCTCAATCAATCAGCAGCCTATTCTGTAAGTTCACATTGATCCCCAGGCCCATGGTGCTCACCATAAAAGCCATCCCGCTCACCCTGGCATGCACACCTTCTTGTACTTATCATCACCATTCAAGACCTCTGACATATATGGCAGAGAAGCTGACAATTAGATGTAGAAACTGAGCTCTTTCCTCATAGACTCACCAAGGACTAAATCTGGAAGGGACCCGGTTTGTCAAAACCCCTCATGTTTGAAACAGGGAAATGAAGACTTCAGACACCTCCCCAGTATTATAGAGCTTCTTAGTGATGGAGCCTGGACCATGTCCTGCACCAGGAATAAGGACTTCCAACTTGGCCATGGAGTTCTTACAAATCCACATGTGGATTTTCTTCATCAGCAAATGCCAATGGCACATCTGTCATATGTTTTGGCTTCAAACTGAGTCTTCCTAACTGAAAGGTCAAGAACTACCCCATGTTGAAGGCTCCAGAAGCGTGTCAGACACTAGAAAAAGAGATGGATTATTTGCTCCCCTTTTTCCTCAGTAGGATTCCCCTTCAGCAACACTAAAGAGAACTATGACCACACAGCATTTGAATCATTCACAACATGTCTGACAAGACTTTCATAACAGCTGGTTTTATTGCATGGTCTTAACAGCACAGCATCCCAAGAAAATTAAACAGAGCACATCTTGCTCCCATTCTACAGAGACAAAGACCAAGTCTCCAAAATGTAATAGGAAAACCAACTTGACAAGCCACCCTCAGGTAAACTGGAAGCTTTTAGAGATGCAAGTTAACCCAACCAACCAGGTTGAAAGGTTCAAATCAGCTGGAACAGGCTTAAAAGCAGTAGCTACTGTCAGGCACTGCGACTGACACTCCTAAGGTTCTGTTTAAGAAACGCTTCTCAGCAGAGAACATTACCTCTCAGGATGCCATGAAGCTTCTTGGAGCACACACCCACCTAATGTAAGATACAGGTCAGAAGAACCAGACCAAAAAGTGTTAGCTTAGCCGAAACCGGTTGGGCTCAGTGGATAGAGCGTCAGCCTGTGGACTGAAAAGTCCCGGGTTCAATTCCAGTCAAGGGCATGTACCTTGGTTGCGGGTACATCCCCAGAAGGGGGTGTGCAAGAGGCAACTGATCGATGATTCTCTCTCATCGATGTTTATAACTCTCTATCCTTCTCTCTTCCTCTCTGTAAAAAAAAAAAAATCAATAAAAAAAATACATATTTTTAAAAAGTGTTAGCTTCTTCAGCAAACAAGAGAAGAGTCATAGAGATTAATCTTAAATGTCACCGGGCCTGGAGCAGCTGGGCCCGTAGCTGCTGGGTCGGGAGAAGTCAGGCCCGGAGCAGCCGGGCCGGAAGCAGCCAGGTTGGGAGCAGCCAGGTTGGGAGCAGCCAGGCCCGGAGCAACAGAGGCCAGGCCCAGAGCAATCGGGCCTGGTACAGCTCGCTCCTCGCCTGCCCATGCCCCAGGACTGCTTCTCAGAAATGGCTGGAAACTTTTGGGGGAACTTGATGGTCTGCTGAATCAAGTGATGAAGGCTTAGATCTGGATGTGTTGAGTTGTTGTAGCGCTGGGGTGTTGATTTGTGAGTGCCTTATGTGGGGTCTAAATGAGGTTGGTTGATCTATTTGGATGTGTCTTTTGTTTGAAGTGTATTCTTGGGTATGTGGAGGTATTATTGATTTGAGAAAATGCGAATTGATTTGCTACCTGAAAAATTTAAAGTTCTGAAAGTTTAAGGTCTCTTGCCAAAAAGAGGTTTTTAAGCTAACACCTTAATTTTAATGGAGAAAGGGGAGGACAAGCCCTTCCCACCCAGAACAAGTAATCCAATTCCAGCCAGCAGCTATCTTTAAACAATGTGTTCATTTACATTTGAACACCTGTTGATAGCCCAAGGGCAAGCTTACATGTAAACATGTTTGCTTCTCAGCTCCCAGGGCAGAAAAAAACGGGTTTAAAGTTACTAGATTTTAAAATTTATTCTTAGAAATATAAAAGTTTATTAATTTAAAAAAAAACAAGGAAATTAAAAAACCTGATGAACAATATTAACTGTTGATTATAACAGAATCAGAGATACGGGAGGGGAGTGGACTGACAATTCTCAGGGAAAAGGGGAGTGGTGGGTGCGGGAAGAGACTGAACATAAACTGTGCACCTATGGATGAGGACAATGGGGGGTGGGGAAAGGGCAGAGGGTGGGGTGGAAACATGGTGGGGGGGGGGGATGAGGAACTTTTGTAATAATATGAACAATAAAGATTGATTTTAAAAAAAATCTTAAATGTCACAAAAGGGTATATCTAAAATGAGAAGTCATTGCATTAAGCCAAAATATTGAAGAACCAAGTTTTGTACTTTTAGTTTGCCTACCTTATATAGTTTGTAATCCAAAACTCCTACCCTGAGTGAAATGATAGCATAAAGTACATGTGTCAAACACAAGGCCCTCGGGCCAAATCCGTCCCGCCAGGCCTTGCAATGTGGCCCTCACCGCGCTGTCAGCACTGCACTCCGCTGCATTTCCATCACAATGACAGTTTATGACTGTTCAGTAAACCATTCGGCCCGCAATTTAGGCTGGATTTTAGATTTTGGCCCCTTCTCTGATTGAGTTCGACACCCCTAGCATAAAGGAACACCATTATCTGGGAAATTAAAACATATCAAGTTAAAGATCCCTTTGGAGAGAAATACCAGAAAGAAAGACAAGATTGCCTTGGCAGGATCCCCACACATATACACGCTCAAGGGGTTGCAGAAAATTACCAGTGTGGCTCCCAGAACATTTCTGGAGATGGTGAGTTTGTCCGTAGTCACACAGAGAAAGTTTTATATACCTGTCCCAGCCAGGGTGAGGGATTCTTGATTTTAAATTTGCAATAACTGGTCCATCCATGTTGTTGCAAATAGTAAGATTCATTCTTTATTATGGAAGTAATATTCCAGTATATATATATATATATATATATATATATATATATATATATGCCTCAGCTTTTTTATCCATTTGTCTATGGCACTTGGGTTGCTGCCATATGGTGGTTATTATAAAATAACAGAATATAGTGGTTCATATATTTTTTTCAAATTAATGTTTTTAGTTTCTTTATATATATATACCCAGAAGTGGAATTCCTGGGTCATAAAACAGTCCCATTTTTTACTTTTTGAGGAACCTCTATTCTGTTTTCCATAGCTGCTGTCCTAATTTACATTCCCAACATTTGCAACATGAATGAACCTAGAAGGTAGTATGCTAAGTGAAAAAAGTCAAAGACAATTACCATATGATTTCCCTTATATGTGCAATCAAAAGAACAAAATAAATGAATAAACAAAACAGAAGCAGACACATAGATACAGAGAACAAACTGATGGCTGCCAGAGGGGAGGGGTTTGGGGAGGTGGGTGAAAAGAGTGAAGGGATTAAGAAGTACAAATTGGTAGTTACAGAACAGTCATTGGGGATGTAAAGTTCAATATAGGTAATAGAGTCAATAATATTATAATAACTGTGTATGGTGCCAAGAGGGTACCACCAGAGGATATCTTTGTAAATTGTATAACTATCTAACCACCACTATACTGTACATCTGAAGCTAATATATTGAATGTCAACTCTAAAAAAAGTTTTAATTAATAAAAATAAATTGGCACCACTGGAAGCTGTCAGAGTAGAAACAGCCCTGGGCATGAATTCAAGTCCCTCTGCTGCTAACTGCCAGCCATATTACCTTGGATGAGTCACAGAAGAGTCTGTTTCCTCTTCTATAGTCATATACTAACTGCCTTCACAGGTGTTAAAAATAATGTAACAACATTTATTAACTGCCTACCACCTGGCTATTATCTATTCAATGCTCATGAACAGCCCCATTGAATCACATATTATCCTCATTTCACTTATATTACAGGAATGAGATAACATCTTTAAAACTCAGCACCTAGTGGCCACTGGATAAAGAGTTGAATCAGACCAATATCCCTATGGAAGGGATTTACTATTCTGATGTCTTTTGGGCACAAAATTTCCATGTCCAAATTCCAAGTTTGCATTTGTGTCTACCATTGTATAGACGCTACTACTTTGTCATAAATTAATGGGAAAAGATTGAAAACTTTATGCTGAATAGGAAGGATTCATTCAAGCCTACTGAAGTCATATCCATGATGAATGAAATATTTTATAGAGAAAGTGGAAGGAGCCTGGCCAGTGTTGCTCAGTGGTTAAGCATCAACCTATGAACCAGGAGGTCACAGTTCAATTCCTAGTGATGGAACACGCCTGGGTTGTAGGCTCAATGCCCAGTGTATGGCATGCAGGAGGCAGCCATTCAATGATTCTCTCTCATATTGATGTTTCTATCTTTCTCTCCCTCTCCCTTCCTCTCTGAAAGCAATACAAATATATTTTAAACAAATAAATGGAAAGTGAAAGAAGAACTAGATCTCCAAGCATTTGAAGTTGAGGCCTATGGAACTCCTAAAAACCAGGGCAGTGGCAGTCAGTCCACAGAGGGGTGGAAAGCAATGACCCAGTTTTAGCAGAACAATATCATCAATCTCATTAAGTTATTTTAATTTTATTAGTGTTATGATTGGTGTCGTTATACTTAAAGCTTCCCTTTACTTGGATTTTATAGGACTCTAAATATGCGCTTAGGAGGAGTTATGTCTGGTTTTAGTCTTTGTATACTTAAGCAATGTTGTGATAAAAACAATATTAACACTGGGTTCATGTAAACCCTCTCCAGCCTCTCCACCTCCCCCTTTAAGGATATACAAGAGTTTGAGAAATACCATGTGACACACACGTAAGGTGCTATTTGATGGCTGTCGTCAGGAGCTGCAAGGAGGAAAATGCTAAAAGTCCCTCACCTCAGGGCTGCCCCTTGGGGTTAGGGTCTTTAGGTTCTAGGACATGTCATGCCCCAGGGGCACTGCCCAGCTCCTCCCCTGGCGGGGGCTCAAAAATGCCTCCCCCACAGGTGAGTGCTTGTCCTTAGGCTGTTCCCGGTGGGCTAAAGGCAGGGGGTATGGGGAAAACCAAGTTTGGAAAATGGGGAAGCAGAAGAGGGCACAGGAAAGTCAGCCCCATTGTCAAGTTCTCCAAGCGGCTGAAGAAGCTACCCCCAGAGAATGGTAGGTCTGAAATGCAGAGACTTAAGGTCTAACCCCCATGTGTGTTTTTTTGTTTTGTTTTTTTAATCCTCACCCAAGGATATGTTTCTTAGTTGATTTTTTTTTTTCCAAGAAAGAGGAAAGTTGAGAGAGAAAAACATGGATGGATGGGAGAGAGAAACACCATGCCTATCAGTTGCCTCCTGTACCCACAAGCTAGGTATGTGCCCTGGCAGGGAGGGAATTGAACCTGCAACATTATGGGTGTAGAGGACAATGCTCCAACCAACTGAACCACCAGGCCTGGGCCAATCAGACCACCATTTTTAACCCCTCCAACCTGGCAGGTACCTCCCTGGTCTGCTCACTTATGAACTCTGAGAAGGGAAAACCATTCCGTTAGCCCAAAGTAACCTCAAAATCTAATTGTGCCTGACACTACCTGCCTTAGGCAATCCAAGGGGAGAGTTTCAAAACCTTGCAATATTTCTCTTTGGGTGTGCTGGGAACGAGGGGAGTAAGAGGGCTGGCTTAATCAGGTTAAACAGAGGGACCTGGCTTCCCCAGCAAGTCAGTCACCTGGCCCTAGAGTGGCCAGCGCTGCCCTCCAGCGATGATAAAGAACACCTGAGGCTTCACTACAGGTGTAATCTGCACAGTTGATGTTTCCCAAAGACACCTCTTCCAGAGAATGGGAGGGCTCTAGCCTTCGGCCTGCCCTGGAAGAGGGGCCTATGGCAGTCGTCAGCAAACTGCAGCTCGAGAGCCACATGCAGCTCTTTGGCCCCTTGAGTGTGGCTCCTCCATAAAATACCACGTGTGGGCGCGCACGTACAGTGCGATTGAAACTTCGTGGCCCATGTGCAGAAGTCGGTTTTCAGCTCTCTAAAGAAATTTCAGTCGTTGTACTGCTGATATTTGGCTCTGTTGACGAATGAGTTTGCCGACCATTGGCCTATGGGGAGGAGCCAGAGCCAGTAGTGGATCCTCACCCTAGCGCCTGCCAGGATGCTTCTTGACTTCACTGTCTTTAGGGGGGCGGGGAGATTGGGGGGTCCTGAGGCACTCTGCCTTCCTGAACTCCTTCCTCCATTATTAAAAAGCTAAGTGTATACAGGCACACCTAGGAGATATGCCGGCTTGGGCTCCAGACCGCCACAATGAGCAAGCATCACAATAAAGCCAGTCCTGCTGGCGGATGGTCTTGCCTTCGACGCAGAGAAAATGCAACATCTGCGAAGCTCAGTAAATGCCCCCCAAAAGGGAAGCCTGGGTTTTACAGCCGCATTGGTATACAGACGATAGAGTAAAAAGTTTCTCTTTGATCAGAGTTCTTTTTTGCTTCTGGTTAAAGAAATTAAAACTTTTAGTGGGCCCCGGAAAATACGGTGGGCTGCGGCCACGGACTGCTCCCCCAAATCGGGCTGGCCCTGGCCACCAGTGAGCGCTAGGGACAGAGGGAGGTGGAGGCGACTTGGGGTGCCTTCTCCCTCCCCTTCCCCCCCCCCTCCCCGCTAAGGGGTGTGCCAGGCTCAAAGCGGGGTCTCTCCTCATCAACCTTGGGTAGGCCTGGACAGGGGACAGACTTCCCACGTGCAGACCCGGCCTGGGCAGGGGACAGACTTCCCACGTGCAGACCCGGCCTGGGCAGGGGACAGGCTTCCCACGTGCAGACCCGGCCTGGGCAGGGGACAGACTTCCCACGTGCAGACCCGGCCTGGGCAGGGGACAGGCTTCCCACGTGCAGGCTGAGTTGGAGCAGGGAGCCCTGTTTAACTTGGGGGGGGGGGGGGGCGCTCCCCGGACCAGCTGTACCCGAGCGTGGGCGGGGCGGGCAGGCCTGGCGCACTTACTTGCGTTCCACTGACGACGAGCCCGTCCATGGCGACGGGGCGAACGACCCCAAGCGCGGAGCTGGAAGCAGGGAGCAGGGGGCTGGGGACCCGGAGCAGGGAGCGTGGCGGGGCGGGCCGGCTTCAGTTCCGCACTGGCGGTCAGCTGACCCGCGGAAGCCCGTGGCGGCCGAGGCCCCGGCTCAGCTGCGGGCGCCCCGCGCAGGGGCAGGTGCGCCTCCTCCGCCCCGGGCGCCGCAACAGGTGCCCCGCGCCCGCCCGCCCGCCCGCCCGCCCGCCTGCCTGACCGCGTGACTCCCCCGTGCCCACGGCCTCCCCGGACCCTATCGCCCCGGGAGGGGGTCAGGGGAATAGGAAAGCGTCCCCTAAAACCCCATGTCGAACTTTACTGCGTTATAGGGTCAGACTGAGACCCTGCCAATCCCCCCCCCCCCCGCCACTATTGGGGCCGTTGGTTGGGGGAGTGGGGGGGGGGGGGTTGCGTTACGCCTGGCCTTTCTAGTATTTCACAATCCCGATTACGCAACTATCTCCAACTGCAGGGAGGAGGGCCCTCCTGGCTGGAAGTCCCTTCCCCAATTTTTGCGGGGAAGAGGCGGTGGGAAGGTGGAAGGGACACCTGGAGGGTGGGTTTATTTGTGAGGGGGGAGGGGAAACTGAATTTCCCTATAAATAAAGTGTTGGCTCAGCTATAATAGCATCCCTGTTGACGTCATAGATCCTCGGAGAGAGCTGAATGACCTGTCCAAATTTCAGGCTTCTCTTCTTCTCTTCCTCCTCACAGAGCAAAGGTATCTGTGAGGCTCAAAGTTATCCATGAGGCGGAAACTGGTTTGGATCAGTGGATAGAGCGTCGGCCTGCGGACTGAAAGGTCCCAGGTTCGATTCCAGTTAAGGGCATGTACCTTGGTTGTGGGCACAATCCCGGTAGAGGGTGTACAGGAGGCAGCTGGTTGATGTTTCTCTCTCATCAATGTTTCTAGCTCTCTGTCCTTCTCCCTTCCTCTCTGTAAAAAAATCAATTTTAAAAAAATATTTTTTTTTTAAAAAGTTACCCATGAGGTCGGACCACCACCACCCGTTGCCCTCACCTGGATGAGGGAGGATGGCCGTTACTGCCTCCTATCTGGATGAAGCCAGGCCTGGTAAGCAGGTACTGGAAGCTCAAGTGTACCCTCAACTGAAAGAACCCAAATGTCCCAGTGCCTGTTTTTGCCTTCACGCCTCCATCCCAGGACACGCAAAGCTATTGCCAGATACCAATTCGTTGTCATGTCATCACTGGTCCCCTGTTTCAGCCGAGAGCTGCCTGCCGCTGCCTGAATCCTGCTCACTTCATACCAGTGGGCATAGGCCCCACTCAAATTGAGAAAGGAAAACTGAGTCCTGACTTGCCAGACTCCTGGTTTCACAGTCATCACAGGCCTGTGGGTAACTGTAGCTCCCCGCCTCTGTACAGGGGTGTCCGCCAGGCTGTGCGTTGTCCTGTGTGTCCAAACAGCACCTGGGAACTCCTGGTTGTCCAGCGGAGGATGATTGTTATGGTCCCAGCTAAGCATTTGTGGCTCTCATCACTGTCTCTCAGGCCTGGTGCCAACGCATTGCAGTGTGAACCTTCATTGTCTGATGAGTTGACCTCTGAGGGCTGACCCACCTGCCCCTCTCTCTGCTGGGAGGAAGGCACACGGAAACGTGGAGCTGTAGGAACCTAGTCCTGGCTGTGTTTACTTTGGGTTCCAGGAAATGCTGCAACAAAAGGCCCTGCCGGCCAAAAAAGAAAGCTTGCCCCAGACATAAGGGGGATCAAAGGGAATGTTTATAGGCCTACAGCTCCTCATGCTCCTCCCTCCCTCTCTGCTGGACATACCCTCTCTGGCCCATTGTCCATTTTTGTCTGCATTTCCTTCCTGAAAAGGAGGAAGTGGACCCAGCCTCTGTTGGTCATGATACTCTGCCCTCCCCAGACACCTTTCACCTTGACCTTCCTAGAAGAGCTTTGACCAACAGGAGAGACAGACCTACTCAAAGATGAAATTGGAGCCAAAGCCTGTTTGGCTCAGTGGATAGAGCATCGGCCTATGGACTGAAAGGTCCCAGTTTCGGTTCCGGGCAAGGGTTGCAGGCACATCCCCAGTAGGGGGTGTGCAAGAGGCAGCTGATGGATGATTCTTTCTCATCGATGTTTCTAACGCTCTATCCCTCTCTCTCTTCCTCTCTGTGAAAACTCAATAAAATATATTTTTTTAAAAAGATGAAATTGGAAACACCCAGGAGGAGGATGCTCAAGGCCATCTCATCCATGCCTCTGCCTCCATACACAGCTATGTCGTCAGAACATAGACTGTCCTGCAGACTTTATCAATGACGCCAAAGTGGGCTGGAATCCTTCCCACCTTCCCAAACCCCTTCACTGCCGATCATTCTAAAGGCCTGAAATTTTCAATGGATCCTGAATAAGTAATAACACAGTCCAAAATCTCTCAAGATATTTTATCATTCCAACAATCCTTACCCCTCCTGCCTCTTCTCCTATATCTCATATCCTCTGCTTATTTTTTAGTTGTTGGGTTTGCCTAGAATAACTCTGGACCCACTCTTGTCTCCACTATGTGAACATACTGGGAAGGCCAGTTGACTGTCAGGGAGAAAAAAATGGGGAAATCAAAAATAAATACAGTTCCGGTGGGCTTTGGTGTTTGACATGTAAACAGAAGACAATAGGGAGCTATTGAAAGTTCTTGAGCAGAGTAGAAACTTGCTGACTGTAGTAAGGGAGGACTCCTCTAGAAACAGACTGGACTGACCTCTCCTCACTCCGCCTCGGATGTTAAAAGTTCGTGTTCAGAACATAACAACAGGAAAAGAAGGAAGAGTTGGCTGCTGAGAGGGGGCCGGGGGGGGGGGGGAGGATGGGGAGAAAAGGAGGAAGAGAAAAAAGGACCTGTATCTCTAGACCAAGAAAGATGAGAAGAAAGAAGTCAGGAACACCCTTCTACCTCATCACCTTCTTGAACAAAAGGAAAGTTACATAGAAATAGCAGAAGGTAAACCTCTTCCTGCAACATGGACCTCCCCTCAGGAGAGGAGAGAGTAAAGGAATGCTGAGATAGGGCTGGCCCAAGTGGTAGACAAATAATTCCTTGGGAATACAAGGACTCTTCAAGAGCAAACACAGAAGGTAAGTCTTGTTGGAGCTTCTCCTTGAACACACACTTTCTGCCCCTGCCCCAGGAGCACTGAGGGAGAGGAAGGGCGTCTATAGGCACCTGGGTTCTTTCTCAGCCCCTGCACCCCATTCCATGGCCCACTGAAAGTCAGCTCTAGGCACTTCCTGCCTCATCCCACTTTATTCCACAGCCCTGAGCCCCAGCTTCCAATGCTAAGCACAGAGGGTACACATGACAAAGACATACCCTTCAGGAGAGATTTGTGCTCAGACATGTACAGTACTAAGTTGATGAGAAGCACTGTAAATGTGAGAAGTGCTATAATTGTGGTCCTCTTTTCTGAATCCAAAATAGAGACAGGCAGCCTAATGTGTACAGTGCGCTTATGATGATCAAAGAATAGAAGGTTCAAATCAGGTCTGAACCAGAAATCCTGGGTCTGTGGGTTCTGGAACTCTTAACACATGCTTATGGAGAGTGATAAGGTCCAACACATACGACTCGACATTTCCTTATCGCCCTTGATGAAGAGGGCAATATTTTATTCGTACTGTCATCTTTGTTATTACTGTTATTATTATCCTTTGGCCGAAGAGGCCCTCTCCCCTGGAGTCCTTCCTCTGTCACATTCCTGGGGACAAAAAGGAAGATCCTGTTTACTTCCAATCAAGGGAGTTGATTCTGGGGTTGGCCAGAACCAAGCAACACAGGAACTGATTCCTGAAATCTTCCAGCTCACTGCATCAGCCTCTGAGAGAGGGAAGGGCCAGTTGACAAAGTTTTATTAGCATTCCTACCTATCCATAGCCGAATTTCTGTTCAACCTGGCCTCATTTCTTTCAGGCTTACCTCCTGGGCAGATTAAGATAGTTGCTATAATTAATCATGCCCCAGTCCCTAGTTCGGACTCACCACATTCAGATTTCAATTAAAGAGGGAAAAAAAAAAGGCTGGATGTCTGCATACAAAATGCTCTTTGTTGCTGAGGCAGCCTCCTTTCAGCCTAAAAGAGGGAGTTCAGACAGTGTAGGAAAGAGAAAATGTTCCAGGTCCTCTCTGTAGGGATTGAGGATGATCTATGCTCCCAATCAAAACAAATTAAATGTTAAAAAAAATAAATAAATATTAAATGCAATCATGTCTGGCATCAGTAATCATTGCACAAATGTTAGATTATTATTATTTACCACTATAATAACTATTACTACTATTATCATTAATTCTCAGTGCCTCTGACTTCCCTCCTTTTGGGATCTTTCAGGATTCTGTTGTTGTCTCTCTATTAAAATGCAAACATTAGCAAAGAGTAGGGAGGGAGCAGGTTTGAGAAGGTGAGTGGGAAAACCACTCCTGTGATTTTTGCAACATGCATACTGCTTTTGTAAATAAAAAACAAGAAGGGAGGAGACTGGGATTGAAAGAACAAGAAAAAAAGAATTTATCTTTGAATTCTACCAGTCTTTTAGCATTATATTCACAAATCTCCCAAACACACTGAGAAACAACTCTTACCTCCCAATTTGCTTAGAACTTGTCCAATACTCCAGGCCTTAGCTGAGCTCAGGAGGGAAGTCATCTCTGACTTGAGGAGAAGGGGCTCACATTTGGACTTTTAAGAGGGAAAGAAATACCAGCTGAGACGGGTTTGGCTCAGTGGATAGTGTCGGCCTGCAGACTGAAGGGTCCCGGGTTCAATTCCGGTCAAGGGCATGTACCTTGGATGTGGGCACATCCCCAGTGGGGGGTGTGCAAGAGGTGACTGATCCGATGATTCTCTCTCGTCGATGTTTCTAACTCTCTATCCCTCTCTCTTCCTCTCTGTAAAAAAATCAATAAAATATATATTTAAAAAGAAATACTGACCAGAGGAACCTGCTCAGGTGTATATTGTTCAGGGGTGGGGGGAGGCGGGACCGAAGGAGGATGAGAGGAGCAATGGCTAAGCCCCAAGTACCTTCCAAAATCCCAACTTAACATGGAGAAGAGTTCTGCCACTTAGAGGCCAAGGACCCTCCCCCCATCTCAATTAAAATGTATGGAAATTAGATTCTGAGTCAGTAGGTGGTACCCTGTT